TACAGAAAGACACATTTATATATTTCCCTCTTCTTCTTTTTTTTTTTTTTTTTTTTTTTTTTTTTTTTGGTGTGTGTGTGTTGTTGTTGTTTTTTGGTTTGTTTGTTTGCTTTCAGTGTCATTGCATCCCCATAGTCGCTGCATCCATCTACAGCTACATCTGCGTCCATATATATTGCAATAATAATTATAATATTAATTAAATAATAAATATTTATTGACTCATTTTGTTTTTGTTTTTGTTTTTTACTCCCTCCTGGCTTGCGGAACAAAAAAAAAAAAAAAAAAAAAGAGGGAAATGTCTGCTGCAGACAACCACCGTAAGAAACCGGCGGCGTTGCTGGAGTCATTGTTTATGTGGGAGATGGTGGCATCCTTTAGTACACCACTGACGGTGTGTGAACTGGAGCGTATTTGCCGTGACGTGCATGCAGTCTTAACATTTAGCTCAACCGGTACCCGTCTAATGCAGCGGTATTGGTATGCGCAGTACCATAAACTTATTTGGGAAGAGAACCGCATGGATCCTTCACGACGGACACTTGATTTTACCCTCACACGGAGCGAAGGGAAACGTAATTGGAAGAAAATGTACCGCGAGGAGTACCCGTTATATTTAGCGCGAACGATACAAGGAAAAGGTGCCAACAACAATGCCATCAACATGGCGAAGGTGCGCTTTAAGAAGGAATGGAGGAATGAAATCCTCTCAGGTGAGGAACTTGCGAAGTTGCAAATCACGCCGCAGGAAGCCCTGGCACGGCGGGTGGCGAGGGATTTGGTGAGCCTTGAGGGCGAAGAAGTCAACGGCACTCTCAGTTTTCACCACCACCACCATAATAATAATAACAATAATGTTGTTGTTGCTACTGGTGCCAGTAGTATTGGTGGTTGTGACTCTGGTGTGCCGCAGCAGTCTCAACGGAGGGAAGAAGGGGAAGCGACGACGACGACAATGGCACCACGTCACCAGACGGACAAGAGAGGCAGACGAAAAGGCGGTCACGACGGTCAATCCCATGCGATGAAAGACCCGGCATTGGGACTTTCACGTGATGATTACAACAATGACAGGCGCCTTGGAAAACATAAGAGCAAACACAAAAAAGGGGGGATGCATCGATGGAGTACATTTGCGAGTGGTGAGTTGGATGACGACTATTGAGGACGGAAAACATCACAAAAACAGGAGGCCAACGACACCATCTTCTAGCAAAGGCTCTACGGGTTGCCAACCCCACACAGCGGGGACGTCCTTCGACTACTTCCAATACTTCTACTAGTAGTAGTAGTAGAGGTGGTGGTGGTTTGTTTGTTTGTCCGTTTGTTAGTTTTCAGAGATTACTCCATCTTTTAGCTCTGTTCCTCCATGCACTTCTCACTCCTGCCCCGGAAGGACTAACGAAACGGAAAATAGAATTTACTTTTTTGTTGCTATTGTTATTATTGTTATTATTATTTTGGCAACCATTAATGATGGTAAATAGTGAAATCTAAAAGGTGTTTAGATGTTATGTTGAATATAAATGAGAGCATAAGAGATAAGGGGGGGCGATGGCACCACCGTCCTTTGTTGTTGTTGTTGTTGTTGTCATTACTTTATTTCTTCTCCCATGCATGTGTGCACACATAGTGAGACCCGTTACTCAATGGTATAGTTTTTTTTTTTGCTTTTTTTTTTTTTTTTCTACTGCGCTCATTAAAAAAAAAAAAAAAAAGGGAGGGGGGGTAATAATTGACACGACGCCCCTTTGTGCCTTGTCTTCAGGGTGGGCCAAAATGGCGGCGGTCATGAGGAGCATGACGAGGAGACGCCAAAAGGCATATCTCCTACTGCCTTTGTTTATTGCCTTGACTATACTCTGGTTGAGTCTCGTGCATCTCGTCCTGTCGGTCGTTGAGGAATGGGCGGTAGCAGCGAAGTCAACGGCCGCCGAGGTTCCGGAAAAGACGGATGTCATTGTTGCCGAGTCTGCACCAGCGACAGAAGCGCCAACTGGATCCAAACTAAAGACTTTGATGGCATTGGGCTACGAAAGGGAAACCCGGTTTGACTTGGATCAGAGAAACGCATGGCGTTGGTCGAACGGGTCATGTCCAATGGCTGCAGTAGGCATTACACATGTGGCGCGTACTCACCATGCGCCCATCGCCTACCTCACATTTATATCAAATGAGAAGTTTGTGGATGGTGCTCTGGTACTTGGTGCATCATTACGTAAGACCTCTGTCTTTTTGCAGCATGAGGTGGCGGATTTGGTTATCACGATTACCTCCAACTGCGTTAGTGCGGTGTCTCGAAAACGCTTGCTTGAAGAAGGAGGATATACCCATGTGTTTGAGGTCCCTTCCTTGGCAGGCCGCATTCATGCGAAATCTGGCATATTTCGTGATACCTTTGACAAGATATACATGTTTAACCTTACCATGTATGAGAAGATTGTCTTTTTGGATGCCGACATGATTGCGATAAGGAGTATGGATAAACTTTTTTCAAAACCCAAGATTTGGGGCCCGGATTACGTTGCAGCGGTTGGGGGTAAGGATTACTTTCAGACCGGCATGATGATCATTATTCCAACACAAGAAATGTTTAACTGCATTTATGACCGACTTATTCGTGGGACACCACCAAATGGCTTTCAATTTACCGGATCATCGGCTCGTGATGGAGTACTGCTGCGGGATGTGTTTCAAAAAAGGTTTCACGCAATCAACCCAAAGTATAGTCGCAACCTTAACCCTCGACATCGACTGGACATGAAACTTCCTGGCAAACAGTCCATTGTGGCCGTTCATCTGCGCGGAATAATAAAGCCATGGCACGACAGGCGGCTACCAAACCCTCACACTGAACTTGGGAAAAAAGAGTTTGGCTTTACGTACCTGCATTGGTGGACCCTGTATGAGGAGGAAATACACAAAAAAAGCGCCTACTATCTTAAGGCGCTTCATTTTCAGTCGAAGGGACATGCACCAGGCTCAAAAGCCATTGTTGTAGACGGTATCGCATTTGGAATGCAACACACCGATGCAGGTGGGTCTCTTGTTTCACCCTTGACGCACGTATGGATGCAACGGCACTCCAAGGATGCATACACGCAGCTTCTGTCATCTGAGGAAAAGAGGCTACGCAATCGCACGCTTCCTTCCATGCGAAAAATACCCAGTCCACATTTCGGTCTTTCATGCGATGCCGTATGTGCTCAAGCGGGATTACGATGCGCCTTGGAAGCGCTTTACTTTACATCACTCAATGACTGTGAAGAATTGCGGTCTGTATTTGGATGCAGCAGATGCGAAATGGGTGTCTACTGGCGACCGCACCCCGGGAACGACTTCCCCGCCGTGGAGGATGTATCGCATGAAATGGAGCATGAAAACAAGGAACGGAAAAGGCGACTCAGGGATAATTCGACCAATTTGGTTTGTAGGTATAACTACCTGCATGATGCGCGAGGAGTTCCGAACTGCACTGCCAGCTACACGACGACTCGTCGTTACTGCCCCTGCGTGCCCAAACCGTAATATATGAGATGCTTTTCCCTGTTGCCATGGTTTAATTTTTCTGTCATTCTTTTTCTTTTATTTTTTTTTTACCTCTCTCTCTTTCTCTGTCTGTGTGTGTGTGTTCTTATTACTGAGCTTTATTTTTATTTTATTTTGTGTTTTTTCTCGTGTGTGTCATTGTGTTCGTTTGTTTGTTTTTTGTGCCTTCTGACTAGCCTGACGCACCACGGCATTGATAGAATAGGGAGAGGGAACGTACCACTTACACAGCAAGGCAATTTTTGCAGCATCTACATGATGCGGCGGGGACTTAGGCAACACGCAACGGGACTTGTGGCGGCAACAGTGGCACCAGCAGCTGCTGTGAAACTTCTCTCCAGTGTGCTTGTGACACCCTCACGGGGAAAATACGTGCGCCAACCCAGCCCGCAGTGGGACCCGCTTCACGAAGACATCAACGCACACGTGAAGAAACGTATACCCGGCGAAACTCGTGTAGATCGTGTTCGGCGCTTTGCGCGTGAGTGGCGTAATGTGGAATTAGAATTAGGTGTTTACAAGGATTCTCGTGGACGGGAGATCAAGTACAGAAAAACCTTTGTGTACCGCTACACTTACCCCAATGCCTTTGATGAATTTTGGTGGCCGTGCAAATGAGTCATTAGGGCAGAGTAGGAGCAAGAAAAAAAGAACGCATAAAAGGGTGTGTGGGAGATGAGGAAATGTGGTAGAAAAAGAATAATAATAAAAATAAAAAAAGAAGGGAGGGTTAGGGGGTAGATAATACATGTATATTTGGGTATGGGTAGGAATAATATGAACGTTTCTGTGTACGTGTATATCTATATACATCTATATATATAGACATATTCTCAAATATATTATGACACGAATGCACAAGGAAAGGGACGTCTGTATGACCGTTGTTTTTTTTTCTTCTTCTTTTTCTTCTTCTACGGAAGTCAGTTATGCCGCTATGGGATCAATTAGTCATTTGTAATTTTAAATTACATCGTTGCAGTAATTATTGGCAATGGAATTACTCCAAGCAGAATTGTTGCGACGTGTATGATCCTGTTGTTTTCTGTCGTTCTGTTGTTGTTGTTGTTTTCTTTATTTGTCTGGTTCCCTGTACACGGTACACGGGAAATCCGTCATGCGTTTACGGCACAAAAAGGATGATAGTAGACTAGACCAAAACATAAAGGAGTTTGACGTTGGATGGCTGATCGCAGTATAGCTGTGGCGACATCTCCGCTTTTAGCAGATGGCAACGATGACGACTGCACCTTCTCGGATCAGTTTGCCCTCATTGCCCGCCGCATGTGTCGTGCACTCTTGCGACACCCACAGTTGGCGTTATTTTACGACTACCCACATGTTATGTACGAGGCTTTGCATAATTTTTTTGCACATTGGTCAGCTCGCCAACAGCGTGCATCCTCCCTTAGTCTTACAATGGAGCAGACGATGAATCTATTGCGGTACGGAGAGTCCACCATACGAAGCGTGGGGCTTTCAGAAGATGCGCTTGCGCGGAAGCAGACGGCGGCGGAACTTGTAGCCGTCTCCCCTCTCATCGCCATTGAGTCTTTGTCGCATGAACTGCGGAGCGTACAGGTCTCCGTGGGAGTGATCCCTCTCGCGGAGATTGTGGAACTCGCTCGCGTGCTTGACAATGCGCAGGGGCTTGTAACGCCTTTCGGTGCACTCAACCTCGTGCATCTCGTGGCTCTCGGCGCAACCCTCTGTTTAGCGCCGGAAATGAAGACCCTCGTGCTGATGGTGTCCAGCTGTCTACACCACCGCCTGCTGTGTGCCGCCGTTTTCTATGAGTGGTCACTAATCGATACACCAAACGCAAATGCTTTGCGTGAGTTATCGAAAAGAGTGGAGAACGAGGCTTCCGACGACGGAATCAAGGAAGTCGTCAGTTCCATGCTCGGAAGCACACTTGAGAGCTTTGGAAATCAGCCCACAGATCCCGTGATAACAGACGCCACCATCGAGGTCACTGCTCCACCAGCCGAATGTATTGCGTCATCCTCTCCCGGTACTCGACCCCAAAAGAGTGAGGAAACGCTTCCCACCGCACAGCACAAAGATGGTATCGATGGCTGTAAGTCCTTAGAGGAGGATGCGGAGCTAAATGATGGAAGCGACATTGGGGTGACCGACACGGTTGATGTGCAGTTCTGGCGTCGGCTGTGCAGTTGAAGATGCGGGAAGGAAAAGACTGGAAATGCGAGAAAGAACCCGGTTTTATTATTATTATTATTATTATCTTCTTTGTCTCTGATTGCGTTGTGTCATGTGTTGACGTGCTACCTTATTAAATGTCCCCTTTTCTTCTTTACTCTCTAGGGACATATGTAAGGGATGTTTGCGAGGAAATCTGGTTCGCCAAATTAATATATCTCTTAGCATGACGAATATATTTCTGTAAGCATTTTTTGTATCTTATGAATTTCGGGAAGACTACGACCTTAGAGGATCAGGGAGTCGATAGCAATAAGACAACTTTTTATTTACTATTATTAATTACAGTCAATTTGATTGAAAGGAATGGCAGTGTTTTCTTTTACACGGCGACGGGGAGAAGCGACATTGGTGCCCGCATGTTGGACTTGGCACGCCAGCATGGCGATGTACGGGTGCAGCTCGCCTTCGTTGATGAACACGGGTCGTTGGATGCGGTGGTAGCCGCCGCCGCAACAATGACAGGCTTACGCTTGGTTTCAGGAGACATCGCCATGCACTGGGAGGAGCCGACCGTTGCGGGGCACTTTGCGAATCGCCGGGCGCCTCAAGTACCTAATTTCGAGGTTCGAGTGCTGCTGCCCGTCGTGTGTGTGCTGCCCGGGAGTTGGGAGTCCAGCAGGGGCTGATCATTGCTGGAGGACAGAGACTGAGCACCGACTACGCCAGTGCCGTCGCGGGCGTTGCGGATTGGAGTGCTCAGCTTTACTCTCAGGTGGAAGAGGCGCATAATCACCTGTTGGCACGCGGATCTCACGTTGCGGTGACCGGCGGTCTTCTTGCGGGACGCGGAGACGCCGTGTCAACGCGAGGCGCCCACCTCTCGGAGAGGGCCGCCAGACGGTGTAAACACACAGCCGCACCAAAGGCATCGTTTGATGGCTGGGGGCGTGCCAGCATCCACGTTTCCCCAACGCAATCTCACGGGAGAGAGACGGCGGGTCAACACCCATACGTCTCAGGGCAATTTTGGGCGACCACGTCTCCCTCACTCGATGCCTTTGCCCTCCCGCACCTTCCCCTTGGAAGATGGCTCCGGTGCAGAGGAACAGGTACTGCATTTCCTTGCATTGGACGTTGACACTTGGGTCCCGCGTGTATGGAATGACGTCGTCTCCGGAGTCCTCGTCGACCTCCGATGCGCATACGGTTATTGTTTGCACTAAGTGGGCTCTCAGGTTCAAATGGCCATCGACGGTTTGGTGTCGTGCAGACGCGCACTGGAGATGGATCGGGAACCCAGCGATCAGCTCATGGATTTTTGGCAGGGCCCTGCCGCAGACCTTCCGGACGCTGATCGCGATAACAACCGACCCCAGCATATCCCGCCCTCCACACTTCGTGCCCGCCTTCACATGGCCGTTCACGAGGCTGACATCTTCGCGAGGGCAACCCAGCCTCTTCTGGAGCGGCGCGCAACCCAACAAAAACAACGATTGTTGCGATTTCAGTTGTGTCGTATTTATGGACGCGACGCATCTACACGCAACGTGCGCAGCGCAGCCAGAGGAATTACTCGCAGCGCAGTTTGTCATTAAAAAACGGCGAGGGGCTTCCGGCTGCTTACGAGGGCGGACGAAAACAGCCCCATCCATTCCACCATCACCCACCAATCCGCACACAAGACGTCGCACCGCGCCACCGACGCTCCATCCGATATTTCGAATCACCCGAATCAACCGACGAGAAGGGCAATGGAGCTTATCCGCCAACGACGCTCGACTGTGGCACGACGAACCTCCGACATCCCCGCTTTGGGTCAGCTACATGAGGGGAGCGAACGAGGCGGCTCGAGAGATGTGTGCACCGTCAACGTGGAAGCAGAGAATGTCCCTAGCGGGCAATTTACCACCTTTTGCTGCACGCACGAACGGCCGATCAACGCGGAGAGCTGCGCGGCCTTTTTGGCGGCAATATTCGGCGTGGCGCCATCGACCCGACTGCAGCACGCCAGGATGCTGCGGTCCATGTTGCAAATGGATCGAACCCCGCTGGAAGTGGCGATTCTGAGGATACAAAAAATTGCGGCGCAATAAGAGGCGAAGCAGACGCACCCCTCGACAGAGGAAGAGATGGATCAAGTTATCCGCAGCCGGACCGATTGGAGGGAACGTGTTGTCTTACGACTCGCGTGGATAACGGCGAGCTGTTGGTCCGAGATTGCGGCCTTAACTCCCAACAATTTCACGCTGGAGCCGGACGGGACCATAATTTCGAATTGGCCCGTGGCGCCGAGGACGGCGAGGGCGGATCCCCACCGCGCCTTTCGGTTCTTCAGGACACGAGGGCAGGATGCGTTAGACACTATAAAGTTATGCAGGACGCAACGAAAAGCTCACGAATATTACGACTGCCCAAGTCGAACGAGCTCTGGCTCCTTGGAATGCCACGGCGCATTCCATAAAACGGGGAGCGTTGAGGCACGCTGCTCCAATCGTGGAGGCGTACAATTTGAACCCACACGTGATCTCGCCGTTGGCGGTGCACGTCGACCCGTTCGACCTTCCCCAGAGCACAGTTCGATATTTGGGGAGTTACACCACAATGCTGACCCAGGTGCCGTCGCTGGTCGCATTGATGTGAAGGGAGAAACTGCGGAAGGGCAGGAGCCCTGGCTGAGAGCGGAGGAGCGTTTCCCCATGAATTCCATCACCATGCGTCTACCATTACAAGACGCACGAAAAGGAAGCGCCTGGCCACTCCACAAGAGGAACGAACCATCCCGCTACAGCAACAAGTCAATGTGCCCGTATTGAATCTGGAGTGGATCCAGAGCCGGTTGAACCCGGCTACCTTGGAGAGACTCATGCAAGTATGTGGACTCGTCGGGCGGTCCCCTTTACCTTTATCCTCCTCCGGTAAAGCGCGCGAAGGCTCACGGAGGATTCCAACCGCCGACGCGAGATTGTTACGAAAAGCAGGAATAATCGAGGACGCTTCGTCCACAGTAACAAGCGGCGGATGGGTAAAGCCTTTTCTGTGGTGGAGGAGAAAACCACCGGTTTACGACGACGATGGATCGCGTGGCCACGCGACAAGAAGGGAGACGACCCTTACGAGGCGAATGTTCCTCTTTTACACATTTCCCATTATTTGCCACCTGTGATGGCTGAGGCCGCTTCCTGCGTGGATGTAAAGGCATCCTTTTTTCAAGTCTCTTTACCGCGGGAAACTCGGCATCTCTTTCGATGCCGCGTGGAGGACGGCACGCTGGTGGAGCTGACACGGCTCCCAATGGGATACAAGGCCGGCCCAGAAATTCTCCTGATTATTACCTCGGCAATTGCGGGGGTGACGACGGTGGTTCACCGCCTCTGGGCCGCACCTCCATTGTTGCGTATCGACGTATGGATCGATGATATACACATTGCAGGGGTCGATAAGCGGTGTGACATTGTGGGAAGCCCAGGTGCTTTTTAACGCGGATGGACGTCGCACCACAATATGGGAGGATCTCGAATCGGGCGCCACGCAGTACAACTTCCTGTGGGTGCTGTTTGATCACACTCACCGGGCGGTGTCCCTGAGTGACAGGTTTGTCCGCTCTGTATGCGCCATGCCGTCGCTGAAGTATTTAACCATCGCGGAAATGGAGGTTGTAGCGTCACGTTTTTTGTACGCGTCGGCCATTTTTGTTCAGGCGTTTATGTGCCTAGTACTTTTTCCTCAAGGCAGTGCGACGACGATTATCGGCACTTAACCGGGGATTGTGCTGGAGACATCCCCGACGAACCTTCCGCCGTCAGCGGTTGGTTTGGGCAAGTGATTACGACACAGCATCGAGAATGTAATCGTAAGCGAATCATCGAGCCCACGGAAAAGGCAGTGGGCCGCCATCATCACGGATGCATTGTTTCGTGGATGGGGAGCCGTTTTTGTTCCATACTCCGGCGACGTTAAAATTGCCGGATGAAAATGGAAGAGGAAGCCCTTTCTTATCATGCAGGCGGAGGCATGCGCGGTACGCTTGGCCTTATCGGCCTTTCCCGCCGTCTTGCCATCCACCATGGACGTTTGGGTGGACAACACCTCGCTGCAAGGAGCGGCGAATAAAGGCAGCTCAAAATCACACGCCATGACGTGGGAGCTGCAACGGATATGTTTGTTGACTCTCGCGGAATACAGGCATCCGTTGCCCACGTGCTGTGTGCCGACAACCCCGCAGACGGCATATCACGCGGTTGTGTTTTTACGCTTCAGCACTTGGCGAAGGGGTGGAACTTGCGAAGGGCAGCGGCGGGGTCTTTTGGCTGCAGGACCCCAAAGTCTGCCACTTCGTGAGAAATTATACATACATACACTTACTTGGTGTAAATTTTGAGGATGTGGTGAACCCACTCTTATTCCATTTACTTCTCATTTCGGTCTTGTTTGATTTCTGTGATTGATAAACTCAGGATGAGGAAAGCGGCCCTGGAGGATATTTATTTTCTTTCTCTCCATATCATTTAATCTTTTTTAGGCTTTTTCTTTGCCGTCTCGGGAAAAGATTAGAGCTCGTTTTTGTGAAGAATGTGTGAAAGAGCCTTGCAGCTCCGCCGGCGGTGTTTGTTTCTGTCATATGAGGCAGGAGTCGGAATGGCGCTCCAGTGCCCAGAGGTGGCGAGAAGAGCAGCCGACATCTTGCTCTACGCACAGAAGTCGAGTGACAGGGGAGTGGACGGAGTTGTTGAATTAGCCGCCTGTACCCGCCGCTGGATGCAGAACCGCCAGTTTTCGGACTGGCAAGAGTGCATCGAGTGGCTTCTCTTTGGTGTGGAGCGTCAGCAGGAAATTAGCGGCGTGACGAACGCACAAAGTGCGCTATTCAGGCAGACGTTGTTGGAGTTGGCTACCCTGTTTGAAGAGGAGGCGCGTGAGTATCATGCCGCTGCACCCCCCTTTGCTGAGGGTTACTGGAGGAATGCGCAGAAGCGGCAGCGTCTGTTGAGTAGCGGTGGGTCCGATGAGAGAAGGAATTTGTGTGGGACTCGTATGACTTGGAGCATTGCGGCGGAGTTGCCCCTATCGGTGGAGCAGGCCTTTTTGCTTCCCTGAATTGCATTGTAACATGCACGAAATATTGTTGTCTGTGGCTTTTTGTTGTTTTTTCTTTCTTTCTGTCGGTGTTCATTGCTGTTGATCCCCTTCTTGTTTTTTGTTTGTTTTTCTTGCGGCCGGAAGGTTTTTGTTTGCGTATTTGTATCGTTGTCGACATGCCGGAGGGAGGTACTGCAACATCTTTTTGAGGATCATAATTGGTTTCGGCGGCTTGGGTTCGCGTGGGGTTCAGTTTGTGGAGGTCTGTGTGGCGTGCACCTATGACGGCACCTCCTTTTATTGTGTGCGGTCACATTGTTGGAAGGGTCGTGACTGTAGCCAGCCCGGAATTATGTCTCATCTATGCGTGGATCCATTTGGGCAAAAATGAAAGGAAGCAGAGGAAAAGAATTTTCAGGGGTACACTATCTGTTTAGGAGAGAACTCGTTTTTGTTTTCTTTTTCGTTTGTTGACTTTGAAGCTCTGCAGGGGACGCGAAAGAAGAGGAGATGGCGCGACACCACGTCCCCGTGAAGGGGATATCGATTGACCCCAAAAGGGGGCCAACGGCTCACTCCAAGCGTGTCAACTCGCTGTGTAGGGGACCGAGAGTCTCATTGAGACACACATGGAGCATGTGGTGCTGGCGGGGACTACCACCACCGGTACGCTGAGCGCCATTTTGGTGCGTTGTGTTCCTCCTCCCAAAATACTTTACCTTCTCCTGCCTTTTTTTCCCTGTACTGTGGCCGTCACAGGGATCTTTCCATTCCCCCATTACAAATAATCACTTTGTTCCCCCTTTTATTGTAGAATCCTATTTGTTCTCCAAGTGAATTGAATATACCGTGAAACCAGAGTAAGCGTAATGGCAACGAACGCAAAAGGTTACGCAGCGCCGTCAGCAAAGGCCCCCCTCGCACCCTTCAGCTTCCAGCGACGTGCTGTTGGGGCCGATGATGTGAGCATCAAGATTTTGTTCTGCGGCGTGTGCCACAGCGACATCCACCAGGCGCGCGATGAGTGGGGTGGGTCCCTGTTTCCGATGGTGCCTGGACACGAGATTGTCGGTCATGTAACGTCGGTTGGTGCAAACGTGAAGAAGTTCAAGGTGGGAGACACGGTTGGTGTGGGCTGCATGGTGGACTCATGTGAAAGGTGTGTGGAGTGCAAGAGGGGCCTTGAGCAGTTCTGCGTGGAAGGAACGACCTCGACGTACAACTCACGGGCACGCGTCAGCGGCGAACCCACGTATGGTGGGTACTCTGACCACATTGTGGTAAAGGAGAGCTTTGTGCTGCTCATCCCCTCCAACCTTGATCTTGCCGCGACCGCCCCACTGCTGTGTGCCGGTATCACGACTTACTCACCCCTGCGGCACTGGGGCACGAAAGCGGGGACGAGGGTGGGTGTTGTGGGGCTTGGCGGCCTCGGCCACATGGCAGTGAAGATCGCCAAGGCGATGGGTGCGGAGGTCACTGTTTTTACAACGAGTGAGGGCAAGCGGGAGGCAGCCAGGATGCTCGGCGCGGACCACGTCGTCATCTCGAAGGACCCGGGGCAGATGAGGGCGGTTAAGAACACGCTCAATCTTATTATTGACACCGTTGGAAACACGCACGACTTGTCGCCGTACATTCTCGCCCTCACGACGGATGGTGTGCACATACTGGTCGGTCTGCCGGAGAACCCGCACCCGCCGGTATCACCCTTTTTGCTACTGAAGGGGCGCAAGTCAATCGGCGCTTCACTCATCGGAGGCATTCCCGAAACACAAGAGATGCTTGACTTCTGTGGCAGACACGGCATCGTATCGGATATTGAACTAATCAGCATCGATTATATTAATACAGCATACGAACGTGTGATGAAAAGTGATGTGAGGTATCGCTTTGTCATTGACATGGCCACACTTGGACAATGAGTCAATGTGCACGAGCGGGAGAGGGAGATAGTAGGTAGAGTCAAAGGTTTTTGTGTACTCCTTCGTTAAAACGTCTTTTGTAAGGGAGCTATTTCTTTTTTCTTTAGCAGCTTGTAGAAGGGATGTGCGAACGGACATGAAGAAATGATTGGATGAGCGTATTGTTGATTTTCTCTCCTTATTTGTGGATCCTTTGACGTTTTTGGGCTTTTGTTCTTTTGTTGTTGTTGTTGTTGTTGGTAGCGATGCCGTGGGGGCATGGAGCGCTGTTGTTGTTGTTGGTTTTGGTTTTGGTTTTGGTTTCTATTATTATTATTGGTTAAAAGCTTGTGGAAAGGAATGTGTGAACGGATGAGGTGGAGGATTAGTAGATGCTGACATGTCTTGTTCATTTCCCCCGTTTATTTAAAATAATTTTACTTTTTTTTTGTTTAGTTTTTTCTTTTAATTCTCATGAAACCGCGTTGAAAAGAGGGGTCTTGTGCGGCTCTTTTTTTTTCTCTTTCTTCTTGTTGTTGTTCGACGCACTCACTGTGGCACTGCGAAGGCTACTAATCTCCATGTGGAGGGAAGCCTGGTGGGTTTTGTGGGGCCTGAGGAGGAGACTGCCGATGTGGTCACCTCCCAGCCGTCCCGGTTCTCATGTTTTATTTCTGTTGAATTTATTTGTAACCCTGCCGTGGGTGAGAAGGGGAAGGGGGGTGTAGTTGGATGGATCCCATCCGGGGTGGGGAGGGGAATGTTTTTGCGGGCACACTGAAGCAAACCGTCACGTATCTTTTTCTTTTTCCCCAGTAACCGCCGAAGCCCTCGGTACTGCCTTCTACGCTGGTGAAGAAAAATAAAAAAGGCATGGGAATTGCAGCAGCGCAATGGGTGTCCCGGTGGAATATAGACGCCGTGTGGACACGGTGATTTGCGCGGCCGAGACGAACTAATCGTCTTTTTTATTTTCTGGCATGAAGCGTAATGGGAAAAAAATATCAATTTATTATTGTTATTTGGCAAATATTTTGTGGCTTGCCGCTGCTGGGGCTGCGGTGCTGTCACGAGCATTGCCAGTTCTCTTCTTCCTCCATTACCCCTGCACCTCTGCTGTGTGTTTCCGTGTCTATTCACATGGCTTTCCTTTATTTGTTCTCTTTTTTTTTTTGCGTATACGCAGCCACACGCACAAGTTGCAAAATATATTGCGCTGCCCAAGCATGATTTTCACTCTTATTCTCCCCTGGTGTTTGCTTGCCGCTTTCTTCTGTGGACATGAAGAAGGGAGAGACACCGGGACGGGGGCAATACTGCGGTTCTCTTTTATTTTTTTTTTTTTTTTTGCAGCACGATTGCCTCAAAATGCAACACCGCCCGGTAAATCGATGTGGCACGAGGTGAGAGACTCCTTTTGTCAGCTGTTGACGCACGTGGTTGTGCGGTTGCGGCGGAGTTGACCTTTTGCGCGGTTGTCTCTCTTCTGTAGATGTGCGATGGCGGTGACGGTGGATGAATGCTTTTGGTTGCACTTTTGTGCGTTGCTGTGGGTGATCCCTGCGTGGTGTGCGTGTGGCCCAAAAACAAAGTTGTTCGAGGGCTCACCTGTCGGCACGATGGCCGCAGCGTGTGGCTGCCACTCTGTTCTCTCGGGGATTATGCTACGACGCTTTCACGTGTGTGTTGCTTCGGGGACAATGTGCCGGCGGCTGTGCAATTGCCGGGTGGAGGGAGAGGAGCGGAAGGAATTGCGTGAGCGCCGCGGTCAGGAGTCGTGCTGGGTGTCTCGCCGCGGAGGGCCTTGCCCACCCAACCCAGCACCGCCCCTGTCGGGCACCCTCTCTCTATCACACTGCCGCATCGTAACCGACGCCACCAGCACGCAGCGATGCAGCGGATGCCGCACCGCCACGAGTGCGACCGGAATGGGACACGTCTGCTGTTGCGTTCCGAGGGGTCACACCGAATGGCACAGTGGCGTTCCCACAAACTCCTCGCGGACCCCGCACATGACACCGGGCACTGGCCGCGGAGTGTCTTCGTCGTGGAGGACGCCGTGGTGGAGTTCCTCTTCATTCCATGTGGACGGACGCCTGTTTCTACTCTTGTTCCTACCCATTAGATGACTGATTTTTTTTCTTGTTTAATACCCTTGCTGTGTTTGGAGTGCAGCTTTGGAAAACCCCATCACTTTTGATGGTGGACTTGTGCCTCCGTTCGATCCTTCCCTTTTCCCACATTGTTGCTTTTTTAATATTTTGTGATGACGAGTGGTGCTGCAGAGGGCACGCTGAGGCGCTGGGCTTCATTATCGATTTATTCATTTGCTTATTTTTTGTTTTTGTACCTGGTGCGGTTTGCGGTGTCTCTGATGGCCTTCCCGCATGGAGGGTTTCATTAGGGCACCCGAGCCTTTTTGTGCGGACGGAAGGCCAAGGACGCTATCCATGCGTGGCCATTGCGCTGGAAGGAGTCTTTTTTTTCACATTGACACGGAGCCATTTTTGTGCATCTTTTTTTTCTTTTTTACTTCTTCTGCTTTATTTCAGGAGATGCTCCCTTGGCTTTGCCTCCAACGGGATATGCGCGGAGTTACACGCGCTTTAGAAACCGAAGCCACGAGCCTTTTTTTGGAAAGGGTGCTTTATCTTTCTTCTCACATTAAATTTGTTGTCCATTTTGATGTTTTTGGTGGCGGGAGGGTGGAGCCCCTACTTGGTGACGATCCCACGTATGGTTTGGGTGTTGGTCCGACCAGGGCGGACTATATCCACTGCGTCGGGGAAAGGCTTCTGGTGGATCCAACGACACGGCGGCTGGGGGAAATAACGGGACGGACGTTATCCCGTTGATGGTGGTCCCGCTGATGCTCGATCTGATGGACTTTCGGAGGATGATGTGCAACATCAGTGTGCCCATCCGGCTGTTGGTTTTGGTGCAGAACGGGCGGGAGGCGATGCTGTCGTTGTGCCTGCAGGAACTCGAGAGGGTCTATGGGTGGTCCGGACGCCTGGTTGTGAGTCGTCACCCGGAAGACATCGGGTACAGCGCTGCGGTGAACATCGGGTCACGACTTGCACTCTCGCTGCCGCGCGAGGAAGTGCCTTTTGTTTTTGTGAGAAACAGCGACGTAAAGTTTTTACCCGATCTTCTTCCCAACCTTCTACGCGATGTGCATGAAATGACGAGGCATGATGCCGCTCGCGTGGATGAGTTGGCGGCGGAGGTGGCGAATGAGCCGAGCGAGTCCAGTCCTGTTTTGCGACGGGGCTTGGGGGTGCTGCGCTCCACGGTGAACGATGACCGATTGTCGACGTCTGCGCTGCTGCCTGACCGCATTCGTTATGCCTCTGCGAAAGAGCGTGAAAAGGCATTTTCGAAGCATTACGGGCACTTCTGCGCATATTACAAAAGCAGTTGTTTTGTGTCTGCTATGTTGACACGCCTGGCGATCAGTACGGTGGGATATTTTGACGAGAACTTCTACCCAGATTGCGTGGAGGATGTTGACTACAGCTTGCGCCTCCGTTTGCTTGGATTTCAGGAGCGGAATGTCTTATGCGGCAAATTTGTGCATCGCGGCAGCTCGAGTATTCGTTTCTCTAGTGAAATGGAGCCACCGGACGCTCTCTGGTACCGTCGCGTCAACTCTTTGATGACGAACCAACCATATGCCGTGATGAAGTGGAACGGTCTAAAAGCATGCTGCGATGGGTACAAGGAGCCATATGACGGCATGGTCCCCCTAGACGTTTGGGTGAAGGATGAGGCACGCATACAACGCATTCGGGCCTACGGGCATGATGAGATCAGAAGAGTTCAAAGTATCGACTACGACAGGAGGCTTTTGTACCCTGTGAGGACTAAAGGAAGATGATTCGGCAACAAACACAAGTTTTGCTTTCTTATTTTGTTTTGCCTTAATTTTTAGAAATTTACACCTCTGTTTGGTTATTTACACGATTAATATTTAAGCGAGTACGCCGTTGATTTTAATGAGCGTAAACGTATATTTGGCATGACGGGGGAGGGCGGAGCGTCCAAACTTGGCCGTGCTGCCGAAGGTAGGAGAGGGAAGTAGAAAGTAAGAAACGTGAAGATGATGGATGGGGGAGAAATAAAAGGGGAGGGAAGCAGAAAACAAGCCAAAAGTATTGTGAGCACAACGCTGTTTCTTATCGTGGGCGATCGACACCGCCATTGGCTACTAATTTACCCACTGAAGGTGACACCCGTTTCCGCTGTATATGCTGCGTGCATATCTGTCGGGCTCTTTGTTTGTTTGTTGGTTTGTTTGTTTCCCGCACATTTATTTCTCCGTGCCGCCTGACCCACTCGTTTATTATTTCCCTCTCTGTTTTTGTGCGTGCACCAAGAGAAGGGCTCGGGGACATGAAGTGCGCTCCCCTTCTGTGACATGCCACCAAAAACAGGAGGAGAAAGAAAAGAAAAGTGAAGCGGGGAGGGGAACCATCGCCACGCGTCCTTTTCTCCGAGAAGGCTGCTCGCCACGCCACTGAGGCGCGCCGTGTGCTTCACGAGGCCCGCTGGACTCGATTGGGGAGCCGTGAATGATGGTGCGTGAGAGTGTGGCGGATGCGTCTCCCAGGCGTCCCCAGAGGACCCTCTGGCCATTGGGACTGCGTGGAATGCGGGATTCCGCGGGGATATTTGCCCGTTTTGTTTTTATTCCTCCATCCGCCCCTCCCAAACCTCAACACGGCGGCTGAGCCAACGACTGCGACGGGATCCGTTGCGTATTTCTGATTCTTTTTTGCGTTGCAGCGGCAGGCCTGGTGTGTCCTGCTCGGCAGACACGGTGGACGGGAGTGGGCTGCCCTATCGGGAAAACGATGGTCACGGCGGAGCGTGTTGCGCACTTCGCAATTTGGCGTGTTTGTGGCGATCCTTTCGGATGATGTGACGGCGCCTCTTTTACTTGCAGGGATAAAAGCGATGCTCCACGGTGATGCACACGTTGCGTGTGGAGGCTTCTCTTGCTGTTGGTTTGTGAATGTTTCTTCTTTCGCTTTTGCTGAAACACCACAGAGGGCGGTGTCTGCGGACAGCAGAGCATTGCGAGGAGGGGCACCACACGATTTTTGGCTTGACGAGGCGGCTTCTGTGACTGTACGGTGTTTATTTTCAGGCTTGAGAGACTATCCTTTGTTGGAATGTATTGTGGGAGACCATACGCGTATATATATATATTTCTTCAATCCCTTGGCATTTGGTGTCTGCCGTGAAACAGATGTTGATGGCGTTTCATGGCGGCGAGATGCATGTTTATTTGTTTTATTGGCGAGTGGGTGAATTGTGTTGCGTTCTGTTGTGCGGCTTGTTGCTGAGGGCGAGTGGCCGCAGGGAGACGTTATGGGCGCCTCTGACACGAGGTGCGATTGAGCAATCATCTCCTCCGCTCGCCGGTACACGCTGTTGAGGCGGCGTGGTGGTAATGAATCGGCCTCTCAGAAAAGCAACGAGAGGACGTTTGCTCTTCCTGCTGCGGTTCACGAGTGAACCTCCAATCCGTGGGCGGGGTCGCTCTGCGTGCCGTATTTCTTTGAATTTCCATGAGTTTTTACATCGCCATCCACACGCACACGCACGCAATCCCCCTGTTTGCCCTCCTGTGGGCGGGAGACCGGGATGCAAAGGGAAAAATGTGGCCTGTACCAGCATGTGACAAAGTCTTTCTTGGGAGGGATTGCGACTGTGATGTCCGTCCTGGCAGGCAGGAATGGGATGGGCGAAGAGCGGAGGGGCGAGTAACAACGATCGTGTGCGGGGCAATGCGCAGTGAGTAGGGCGAAGTGGTATTTGTGTTGGCTTTTCAAAGCATTTTTTTCTTTTTCTTTTGTGGCAATGGAAAGAAACTTTGGGTGGTGTGTTGTGGATTATTTGCAGGTGATTCAGCGCGGCAACGCCATTTGCGGAGAAAATGAATGGCATCTGCGTGCGGCTTGTTTTGTGAGCGCGAGATGGTCTGGTAGTGCTCAACGCCCCGAGAGGCCGGGAGCAAAGAGGCCTGCACTGCTGCAAGCGGAGGGATGCACGCTCCTGTTTTTGGCGTTGCTGTGGAGCCCTGAAGTGCCTGCAGGGAATTTGTTTCCGCCGCCTCATTATTTTGTTGATTGGTGCTTGCCGCGGCCTTTTGAGGCGGGGCGTGGGATGGACCGAGAGAGCGTGTGTCGTGTGGCGGTGCTGTGAATTGATACTGCCCACGTTTGTGCAGATACTTCCTTTTGTGACCGCGTCCTTGCCGCGGCAGTGCACTGGGAGCGTGTGACCGATCACTGTATCGCTTGCGGACTGTTTCGGCAGTAATTTGAATGGCGTCGCCGAATAATGAAATTTCGCGTGCATGTGTATGTGTGTTGGCTTCTTCTGTGACTTGCCGTGTTGTTGTTTTTGCTGTTTTCTGTGTGCAATTGTTTTCCATGCTGTTCCTTCTGTGTTCTCTCGAGTCCCGCACTTTGCGTGGGTGCTCTGCTCTACTCCTCACTGACGTGTCTGATGTATTACTACTGCTGTTGTTCTCTCCACTTCTTGGACAAAGACACGCTAGGAAAGAAAGCAAACAAGCGCTAATCGCTACTGTGTAATTCGAAGGCTCTGAAAGGACCAACAACCGAACATACGCCGCCCACACACACATATTTATATGCTATCACGTGTTGCTGCAGTCGTGGCACCCCGCACACACAACCGTCGCGGCGTGACCGGATCCAGCGGAAGGAGGAGGGAAGGAAGAGAGAGTGAGCCGCAGAGGCCCAACATGTCCCGGCTTCACTTCTATTCTGCGGTGCTGCTACTTGTTTTGTTGATGTGCTGCGGCAGTGGAGCTGCGGCCGCCGGGGGCAGTAAAACAAGGAATACCATTGATCCTTTCACAGGGACGACGTCGATATCATTTGCCAATTGGAAGGAGTTTAAGGACGGAAGCAAAATCACCTCGCTCCGTGTTCCTGGCCTCGTTAAAGTGGATGATGATGTATTTGTCGTTTCTGAGGCGCAGTGCGGGGAAAAGAACGGAGCCGGCAGCTGTGCTGGGATTGTGTCAAAGCACCTGAATATAAGTGATGACTCAATGGATATTTCTACGTCGGATTTAAGTTTGTTTCGC